TGGTCTCTGTTTTGCTGTGAACTTAAAACTGCTCTGAAAAAAAATCTTAAAACCCCCAATAATTTAAGTGTGTATTTGGGGGCTGCAATCTTTGGTTTGCTGGGACCCCAAGCACAGCCTTACCTGCCCATGGGTGGTCCAATGCCAATGCCCAAGGGGCTGGTCCCAGGCTCACCCTTTTTCTCCGCCCAAGCACCACCCCCTCTTGTGGACATGACCCTCTCCCTTCAAAGGAAATTCTACTTGATTGTTCTGTGCCCCTTCCTGCTACCTTACTCTTTAATTTTCTGTTTTTTATGTCCAATCCCATTTTTTCCCCTATGGAGCCCAAACACCCTACATCTGTTCTCTCTGTGGGTTCCTGGGCATAACCCCCTCCAGGCTGACCTCTGGGCACCCCTCCTCCCGCAGCTGCTTCCCCCACTGACTTCCCTCTTGACAGACCCAGTGACCTGCTCTCTTAGCACGAGACCTGGAGTCAGAGGGCCTGGGCAGGAGTTCTGCCACTCACCCGCTGTGTGACGGTGAGCAACACAAAGCGCTTCTCTGGGCCTTGTGTCTGTTGCCTTGAAAAGGTTTCTGATCTTGCCGCCTGTGAAGACCAAGGGGTTCTGAGCTCGGTGGGGATGTTAAGAAGATCTGCCATTTGGGGCAAATGAGATGCCATAAGCCAGGACAGCGCTAGATAAACCATTAAGAACCCCCACATGCACTGACTCAGGGGGTTGGGGGCGCAGCAGAAGGTGGCAGAAAGAACCCAGTGCTGCCATCAGGTTAGGGGGAGGCCCAGGTCTGCACTTGCTAGCTGTGTGGACAGGGGCAACTCCTTGAGCCTCTCGGATTCCTCACCAGCAAAGGAGGGTCATGAATCCTACTTTGTAAAGTTAACTGGGATTTTGAGTCCTAATTTATAAAGGTCAAAGCTCTAGGATAACAGAAATATAATAGTTAAATTGCAAAAAAACTTGCAATGTATAATTATCCCATACTGCTTTGAAGTGAGCACCGTTTTCTTCCCCATTTTATGGGGGAGGATGTAAATGGAGGCATAGAGAGGGAAAGTGTCTTGCCTAAGGTCACACAGCCAGAAGCACTTAGCAAGAGCTGTGGACCCAGAAGGTCTGGTTTCAGTCTATAGTCTATGGCTTCCTATGGGAGGAGCTCAGAGCAGTCCAGTGGGAGGCATGGCATTATCATTAAGGCCTTTAAGAGTCAGCCTGGGAATTGCCACCACCCTGGGGCAAGGGATGATAGGTATGTTTGTGGGTGGGAGAGTAATGCTCTCCCCTGGGGCCAGGTCTTGCAGTATACACACCTTTCTGCGCCATCCCAGACACCACCAGCGTCTTCCTCACATCCTGCCAGGGCATCCCAGGCCTATGTGCCCATCCCTTCTCATAGTTTTGGGAGAAACTGACTTGGAGTTCCCCGAGTCTACAAAGGCGGGGGGGGGGGCCAGATTCCTCATCTTGTGAGGCTGATCCTGGTCTAGGGGCATGGACTTACTAATAGCAGCCTGCAGGGCTGTGTCATCCAGCTGGTGACTCAGGGCTCCAGGATCAGCCCCCTCCCCATTCCAATGGGGCCTCCACCTGCATGAGGGGCTTGGAGTGAAGGCTGTGCCTCCCACCAGGGTTAGGGGATACCCTCTTGGGGCATATCTTGCTCTCAGCCTGTTCTCCCAGGTCTTGGCAAACTCTGTTGTGGCATTGGAAGGAGGGGCTGGGGGAAGTGGGGAAGGGGATGTGGTAACCAGAACCACTTCCTACCATTGCTGTGTTGAAAGCCAAGTTCTCCCCCAAGTTCCCCTCCGTGGGGGTTGGGAAGCCAGGAGGTAAAGAAGGAAGTTGGGATGGCAAGATGAGGAAAGGAGGGTCCTTGCCTGAGCTGACTCCAAGGATCTAGTTCTGGGGCTCCTGGTGGGGTGCAGTCCCTCCTCCTCTGTTGGTTAAAAAGGTTGACTGACCCAGAGTCCATCATAATTAGAGCAGCTGCAAGCATGCAGCACTGCTAACTCATTTGAATCTTACAACCCCCATTATGCAGATGGGGAAACTGAGGCACTGACCGGTTTTTGTCAGTTGCTCAGATCATACCAAAAGTCAGTGTCAGAGCTGAGTTGTGAATTTAAGCAATTTGGCTCCAGAGCACAATCTTTAAGCTGTCAATCATTGCCCCCCTGCTTTGTCCTTGATCTGCTCTGTGACCTACAAGAGGTAAACTCTCCACTCTGGGTCTCAGTTTCCTCATCTGCATGATGGGGGCCATCGGAGTACAGATGTTTACCTCCCTCTGGTGATGTTTGTCTGTCTGGTAATTAATTACTCATTCAATTTCTCCCCTGCTGGACTCAACTCCATGAGTAGGGGACAAAGGCTATTTTGGTCACTACTGTGTCCCTAATACTTAGCACCGTGCCTGGCCTGTAAAAACTTGAGTATCTGTTGAGTAAATGGTCTTCAAAGGTTTGAGGATTACCAGAGGTCTGAGTATAGGATGAAACATTTGGAGCCTTGGCGGAGAAAAACCAATGTATAGCAGTTGTTCTCAACTCGGGGTGATTTTGCTCTTCCACCCACTTGGGACATTTGGCAACGTTTGACAACATTTCTGGTTGCCACAACTGGCAGGGGGAGGCACTAGTAGCCTCTAGTTGGTAGAGCCTGGGGTACCATTATACATCTTTTTTTTTTAAAGATTTATTTATTTATTTATGCATACAAGAACTGGGGTGTAGGCCAGAGGTGTGGGGGGTGAGAGGATTCACCAGAGACAGAGTGGGGAGCTGAACAGGCAGGTCTACTGAAATATACTGCTGAGGGGAGCAGCGGGGAGACAAGAGAGGTCTGCTGTTCCATGTGAGTTGCTCCCTGGCCAGGGATCAAACTCATGCTGCAGTAGTTGGCAATAGCTTGATAGCACTGTCTTTAACCCCTGCGCCACCAGGGAGGCCCCTACTACACATCTTACAATGCTCAGGACATCCCCTCCAAGCAAAGAGTTATCCCATCCTGAAGTTTAACAGTGCTGAACCTGGGAAAGTTGGCATATATACATGGATATGACATATTTTGTACAATTCTTGGTTTGTGGATTCATGGGTTGTCCTGCCACCAGAAGAAGATCCTTTGAATTAGAAGTTTTGGGTTTTGCATTTGTTTGTTTCCATCTCTAAAATCATATTTCTCTATGACCCCATCCTCTCAAGTCTGGAATATAGCTCCCCAGGACCCTCTGCCCTAGCCTTGGACCTACCAAAGACACCTGAGCCTCTTCAGGACCCAGGTTTTTGAAGTATCTCCTCCCCCATTCATTCAATCCTTTCCCCAAACCCTGGTCCTCTCACTTCCCTATAAATGGTAAAACAAACAAACAAAAAAACCAAACTTCAGAACTAGGCCTGAATCCTGGTTCTGGGTATTAACTTGTTGTGTGACCACAGGCAACTTCCTTGACTGTTCTGAGCCTCAGTTTCTTCCTCTGAAAATGGGAGTATCACTCATCAAACCTACCTCACAGAGGGTGGTGAGGATGCCATGAGATGCTTTAGGGGCTCAACACAGTAAATCTCAAAAAATGCAGCATTGTGTAGCTCAGAGGTGAAGGGACTTGCCTAAGGTCACACAGATAGACAATAGCAGAGCTGGAACTGAAGACCAGAACTTCATGACTCTCGAGCAGATGCTCATCGGTGAACCCTAGAACTTCAATTTTCTTATAAAGGAAGTTAATTGTCTCCATCTCACAGACTTGTTTCTCAGATAAGCATACAAAGTGCCTGGCATACAGTAAGTCCTTTAAATATAGCTTGCGGAATGGTTATTGTCGTCCCTCCTAAGTAATGCCTTCAAGGAGACAAATACAGATCCTGCCCTGCGCTGGCTGGCTGGGGAGCAGGGCGGGAGGGGGTTGCATAAATGGGTGCTGGAGCTGGTGCTGTTTGGAGCAGGCTGGAGAACTGGAAGGGCTCCGGAGATCATGCTTTGCCCCCGGCACCCCCTCCCTCTGTGTGGCAGTTAAGGTTTGCAAAGCTCAGAGAGGGCAAGGCATTTACTCTAGGTCACACAGATAATTAGAGCCCCAAACCCCCAGTCTCATGATTCCAGATCAGAGTCATGGTCTTGGCCTAGATAATTAAAAGCAATCACGCCATCTATTGAGGATTGCACATCACCATAGGAAGCATTTTAGGTGTTTTTGATCTCATTTTATCTTCACATCAATTTAGGGACAAAGGGCCCTACTTTACAGCCAAGGAAACAAATTCAGAGTGATGAGGACATTTGCCTGAGGCGCTGAAGGAAGAGTGAAGTCTTGTCTGTGGGTTTCCAGATGCCACAAACTTCCCTCTCTACTGCCCTGAAGGAGTCAGCCTGTTGAAGGCAGGGGGTGCCCCAGTGGAATTCCCCAATTCCTGCTTAGCCGAACCCACTCCTTCCACCCCCACAAGGAATGGGGAGAGGAATCAGTCCAGGAAGTCTTCCAGGGACGGGGCGGGGGGGGGGTGTGTGAGAAGAGGACAGACCCCAAGTGTGTGGGGAGCAGCCCCTGGAGGGGAGCTGTCCAAGAAGGGGGAGCACTAGGGTCAGAAAGAGGTCTCAGAGAATCTTCCCGTCCCTTCCCTTGGGCTAACCACTTGGGACCTTCACTGGGAGGGCTCAGGGCATCCTCCTGCCTCACCTCCCTCCTCCCTTTCATACAATTCTCACAAGCTCTGCAGTTTGCAAAACCCAACCTTTCCTCTATGGGCCTGTGGTTTCCTGTGGGTCTGGGGTCCTGCCTGACTTGGCAATGGGGATTGTGGGCAAGTGTGGGGGGAAGAGGAGGTGGTGTAAGCCCTTTCTTTGCCTTCTCATGCTGGGGCTACACACACATACACACACGCACACACATGCACACTGTCTCCTGAGTCAGCCCCTGCCTGCCCTGGCGGGGAGGGGCGGAGTCACTGATTCAGTTAACAGGGCCTCCTTAAAGCCCCCACAAGGACGGCTGCAGCCAGACACCACTACCCTCACCATGAGCCCCTGGCAGCCCCTGGTCCTGGTGCTCCTGGCGCTGGGCTGCAGTTCAGCAGCTCCCAGACGGCGTCAGCCCACAGTTGTGGTCTTCCCAGGAGACCTGAGAACCAACCTCACGGATTGGCAGCTGGCAGAGGTAGGTCAAAACCCTCTTCTAGAATTGGGGAGGGCTGGCCAGGAGTCCCAGGAAGGACATGGGGCTTTGGAGGAGATACTCTGGGGCATGCTGGGGGTGAGAGGCATATGAGCAGAACAGAGGTGTCCAGGATCAGGCAGGGGGTAGGGGGTGGGAGCTCTGGGCAGCGATAGTGAAGGGTGGGCTAATGAGAGTGTCCTGACTGGATGATGGGACATGGGGGGAGGGTACTGGAGGGCTCTGGAGTGGGTGCTGGGGGTGAACAGAGGTAAACCCTAAGGAGCTCTGAGATAGACATGCCCAGGGGGCGCTCTGGGATCCGTCTCCAGGGAGGGGAGATTCCTGGGTGGCCCAAGCGCCGCTACCCAGCGTTCCAAGACCTGGGCACATCGCTCTGGGTTCTGACGTCCGTGCCCTCGTCCACAGGAGTATCTGTACCGCTACGGCTACACGCGTGTGGCTGAGATGCGCAGGGACAAGCCGTCCCTGGGTCAGACGCTGCAGCTTCTCCAGAAGCGCTTGAGCCTGCCCGAGACGGGCGAGCTGGACAGCGCCACCCTGGCGGCCATGCGAGCCCCCCGCTGCGGCGTTCCCGACGTGGGCAGGTTCCAGACCTTCGAGGGCGACCTCAAGTGGCACCACCACAACATCACGTACTGGTGCGCTCGCGGGCCGGCGGGCAGGGTGGGGCCGAGCGGGGAGGCCAGTCCCGGCGCCGCTCAGGCCTGCGCGGGCACGTCCTCTCTGCGGCTGGTCCCGGCGCCGCGGACGTGCAGTCAGGGCCGGCGGCTGCACCCCTACGCGCGCACCCCGAGCCTCCCGCCTGGGCCCCCGCGAGCGTCCGCAGGGAAGAGACGGGCCTGGAAGCCCCGCGAGGCGCAGGGCGCGGGGAGCCGGTGCGCGCGGCGGTCTGAGCCCCGGGGGCCGCCGGCCCGGCGCGGGGACCTCTGATCTCCCCCGGCCTCCCCGCAGGGTCCAGAACTACTCGGAGGACCTGCCGCGCGACGTGACCGACGACGCCTTCGCCCGCGCCTTCGCGCTCTGGAGCGCCGTGACGCCGCTCACCTTCACGCGCGTGCACGGCCCGCACGCCGACATCGTCATCCAGTTTGGAGTGCGGGGTGCGGCGCGAGCGCGGGGAGGCCGCGGGCGGGGGCCCCGGCGGGCTGGGCCGGGAGAGGCGCAGAGACTGGAGGGGGCACCGAACCCGGCTTTCTCTTGCCGGCCGCTGCTCGCGCCTGGCGGGGGGGCGCCCCCTCCTGCCCGACGGAGCCCAGGGCCTTGGACCGGCCCGGCAGGCGGGGCTGCCGCGCGCTCCGGCGCGCACCGCCGTGCCGGGCTCACTTTCCTCCCCTTTCTGCAGAGCATGGAGACGGCTATCCCTTCGACGGGAAGGACGGGCTCCTGGCGCACGCCTTTCCTCCGGGCCAAGGCATTCAGGGAGACGCGCACTTCGACGACGAAGAGCTGTGGACCCTGGGCAGGGGCGTGGGTGAGCGCCTCCGCCGCCCCATCCCCACCCGCTTCCTTTCTCCCGCCGCTCTCAGGCCTTCTGACCCGGTCGCCTCCTCTTGCAGTGGTTGCAACCCACTTCGGAAACGCAAACGGCGCCCCCTGCCACTTCCCCTTCACCTTCGAGGGCCGCTCCTACTCCTCCTGCACCACGGACGGCCGCTCGGACGGCATGGCCTGGTGCGGCACCACGGCCAGCTTCGACGCCGACCGCCAGTTCGGCTTCTGCCCCAGCGAGAGTGAGTGCGGGGCTCCCGCAAGGGGCGGGGCGCGGCACCCTCGAGGGTCTAGGACCTGGTTTATATATATATTTAAAGAACAGGTTTATTAGGGAAAGAGACAAAGGAGTAAAAGGCTCTGCATAGACACAAGCGGGCAGGAAGAGCCGCCCCGCAGGCACAGGTTTGCTGAGAGGCCTGCGTGGAAGCAGGCGGGCGGCCTTGAGGGGAGCTCCGCTGAGGGAGGTCAGTGAGGAGAAGTCCTGGCAGGTACAGGTCACGGGCAGGCAGGAAGCTGCGGCCCTGCAGGAGAGAGTTGGTGAAAAGAGGCACCTGCAGGTCACAGGCGGGCGGAGGAGGGAGAGCTGCTAGGACCTGGGTTTTAATCCCAGCTCTGACATGAGTGCTGCGTGGCCTGGAAGCCACTGCCCCGTTCTTTGGGCCCAGTTTCCTCGTCTGTGAAATGAGGAGAGGAGGGATGGGGCGCACAGAGGGGGCTCGGTAGGCTCGTGGCACCTTGGGGTGATCGGCTGGGCATCCCTAGGACTCTACACCCAGGACGGCAACGCGGACGGCAAGCCTTGTGTGTTTCCATTCACCTTCGAGGGCCGCTCCTACTCTGCCTGCACCACGGATGGTCGCTCCGACGGCTACCGCTGGTGCGCCACCACGGCCAGCTACGACCAGGACAAGCTGTTCGGTTTCTGCCCCACTCGAGGTGCCTCCGCCCCACCTATTAGATTTAGCCTCATGCCCTGATTTCCATTGCCCCCCCCCCCAACATGGCTCCTCCACTCCTCAGCTTGCTTCTCTACCTCTCCTTGGTTGTCAGGACCTGAGGGTTCTGTCCACCATCACACGCTTCCGTTCCCCATTGCCACCACACTCAAGATTGGCTTTCAGCCCAGCCTGCGGCTTCTTCTTGGTCTCCTGTCCCCAGTGCCGCCCTCCAGTCTCAGCTGAGCTGCACAGGCCCCTAAGCTTTTAGAAAAGGTCACCTAGATTCCCTAGCTCCTGGCTGGCCCTGCCCATCCCACTCACCCAAGGCTCTGGGTCTCTTCAGTTGACTCCACAGTGACCGGGGGCAACTCAGCAGGGGAACAGTGTGTCTTTCCCTTCACCTTCCTGGGCAAGGAGTATTCCACCTGCACCAGAGAGGGCCGCAGCGACGGGCATCTCTGGTGTGCCACCACCTCAAACTTCGACATTGACAAGAAGTGGGGCTTCTGTCCGGACAAAGGTGGGCGAGACCCCAAGTTCCTGGGCCCGGGCCTAGGCCAGGCATGGTGGTGGGGACGGATGGCTGGGGCCCGGAGCTTGGCCCATGGCTTGTGTCTAACACTCCCCTTTCCTCCAGGGTACAGCCTGTTCCTTGTGGCTGCGCATGAGTTTGGCCACGCTCTGGGTTTGGATCACTCTTCGGTGCCAGCAGCGCTCATGTACCCCATGTACAGCTTCACCGAGCAGCCCCCTCTGCATGAGGACGACATCAAGGGCATCCAGCATCTCTATGGTGAGGGTGTGGGGCTGGGTGGGGGGGAGCATGGGGACCCAGGGCCAGTGTGTGCAAATGTTACTTGGTCGGCGCTTGGGGGTGGCACTAAAGAGCCCAGATTTTTAGCAGAAGACAGATATGGGTTCAAATGCCAGTCTGGTCACTTCCTGGCTGGGTGACCTTGGGCACGTCACTTCAACCTTCTGTTTTCTCATCTGTAATATGGGGTTCATCATTATAGCACCTGCCTCGTGGGGTTGTTAGGAGGTTGAAGAGAGTTAGACTAATGCCTGGCATATAGTGTTTGATATTTTTACTGTTACCCTCCAGTGTCCTTCTCATTAGTGTTAGCTCCTCATTTAGAAAGGCAGGGGTATTAAAGAACAATGGTGTCGTAGGGTTTCTTTGAAGATCAAAGGAGCTAACCTGAGTTTATAAAGCTCGAAGCACTAGGTTTGCCGCCTGGATGGAGCGCTCAAAAACGCTTCTCCAGCCTGAGGGGCCGGGGGAGTCCTGCTGCTCTTGTATTCATGGGTCCAGCCAGGGCCTGACCCGCTCAGGGGTTGAAACTGGCTTGAATGAAAGTCCAGCGCATGAAGGAAGCAGCCTGCCTGGGGCTGGTGAGGGGCGGGCTCCAACATCTAAAGTGAGGGGCGGGGAGGCTCGCTGATAAACTCTGGGGAGGAGCTAAGCCGTGAGCACAGGGGTGTGCAGGAACAGGGGGTTCTCAGCTCGTGCGTGTCCCTTTTCAGGCGCTCGCCCTGAACCTGAGCCTCGGCCTCCAGCCACCACCGCCTCTGTACCTCAGCCCACCGCACCTCCCACGGTCTGCCCCACCGCCCCTCCCACCGCCCGCCCCTCCGAGCGCCCCACGACAGGCCCCACAGGCCCCCCTGCAGCTGGCCCCACGGGCCCCCCCACTGCAGGGCCTTCTGCGGCCCCTACAGCGTCTTTGGATCCAGAGGACAATGTCTGCAACGTGGACATCTTCGACGCCATCGCGGAGATTGGGAATCGCCTGCATGTCTTTAAGGATGGGTGAGGGGCTGGGCTGTGGGGTTGAGGAAGGGGCCTTGGAGGAGGGAACCGCCCGCTCCGCCCCACCCAGCGGCCTGCAAGGGTCAGTGCCTGCGGTTCCCTTTGCATGTTCTCAGGAGGTACTGGCGACTCCCTGAGGGCAGCGGACGCCAGGTGCAGGGCCCCTTCCTTATCAGAAGCACATGGCCTGCGCTCCCTGCCAAGCTGGACTCGGCTTTCGAGGATCCGCTCACCAGGAGGATTTACTTCTTCTCTGGTTAGTTTCCTCGCAGCTCCGTCTCCCATTCAGAGAGTAACTCAAGCCGTCGAGGGCGGGTGGAAGGGACCCTCCTTCCAGGAGCCTGTGGGGCCCCTCCCTGCCCTTAGACCGACGCGACCCTTCTCCCCTGCAGGACGCCAAGTGTGGACGTACACGGGCGCGTCGGTGCTGGGTCCGAGGCGTCTGGACAAGCTGGGCCTGGGCCCGCAGGTGGCGGGGGTGACCGGGGCCCTCCCGCGCGGGGGGAGCAAGGTGCTGCTGTTCAGCGGGCAGAGCTTCTGGAGGTGAGGGCCGCGCGCCGCCGCCAGGGGGGGCCCGCGCTCCACCCGCCCGCCCGCGGCTCAGCCGGCTCCTCGCCGCCCTCCCGCAGGTTCGACGTGAAGTCGCAGCTGGTGGATTCCAGCAAAGGCACCCCGGTGGACCGTATGTTCCCAGGGGTGCCCCTGCACACGCATGACGTCTTCCAGTACCGAGGTAAGGGCCGCAGCCCGCTGCCAGAGGACCGCGCCGTGCCAGGCTCCCCTGCCTGGCATGTGAGGCTGGTCAGGTCCTGAGCCAGAAAGAAAAAAGCCCTGGACATTGAGGCAAATGCCCCAGCACAGATAAGTTCCCTGGAGAGGCAGGGGCGTCCCCAGGTCAGACGAGGACACACGGGCCCCGCCAGAACTTGGGCTCTGATTTCCTGCCTTGGTCCTAAGAGCGTTTCCTCCTACAGAGCAGCACACATGGTTTGCAAGGAGGCCCAGGCCTTCATTAGACGCCGTCCAGTGCCAGGCACTGTGCGCTCACAAGGGGGAGTGATAAAGATGACAGTTCTTAGCTGTGTGTCCTTGGGGCAGTCGCTACTACTAGTGGAGCCTCAGTTTCCCTACCTGGAAAGCTGGAGTTATATTTGCTTTTGGCTGCTCACATCCAATCCGAAATAGTTGCTTTCCCCCCTCTTCTTGAAAACACCTTAATCTAAGCCACAGAGTTTGCCCAACGCCTTTTAACATACCCCCTAGGAGTACAGAGGCATCAGGAGTGGAGGGCAAAGGACTTGGGGGTGACCCCAGACGCACTCCAAGGTCAAAGAAAGTAGAACTGGGCGAGGTCCCTGCACATCCCCTCCCACAGCCCAGTCACAGGCCAGCTCTGCTCCGCTCACACCACCTTCAGCCGCTCTTTGAGCACATCAAGGTCATTGCTAGCTTAAGGCCTTTGTGCCAGTTGTGGCCTGGGCCTGAAAGATCGCCCCGCCTCCCAGCCTAAGAGAACACGAAGAACACCAAGAGACCTTTACAAAGAGGCCTTCTCTGACCCTCATCATCTATTCACATACTTGCTTTTCTTTCCTTCATAGCTCTTGACATTGTCAAAATGAATCTCATTTGTTTGCACATTTCCTGGCTAATTGTCTTGCCCCACTGCTGTGTAAGCACCCCGAGAACCAAGAACATGAGCTTTTCTCCGCTATATCTGCAGTGCCTTCAACAGTGTTTGTTATGATAGATATTTTTTGAATGAATGAATGGATTTGTTGAATGAATGAATGAATGAATGTGGACGGAACCTTTCTGTACCTCCCGTGTGCCAGGCTCTGTGCCAGTGTTTTGGATATTGAGGCCTGTGCCCTCCAGCATCTCTGCGGGAGGATGGAGGTGTCTTGTTAAAACCTTGGAAAGACCTAGAAAGGGCAGGAGGCATGGTTGTCAAGACCTTGCTCCTGTTTCTGTGTGTGTGGGGGGAGGGATGGAGTCACCTCTCTTCTCCCTGCCTCTCCCCTGCAGAGAAAGCTTACTTCTGCCAGGACCGCTTCTTCTGGCGTGTGAGTTCCCGACAGGAGGTGAACCAGGTGGACAAAGTGGGATACGTGTCCTTCGACATCCTGCACTGCCCCGAGGAATAGGGCTGCCCATCCTGTTTCGGCACTGCGGTGTGGGTCCCCTGGGAACCACCCTAGTGGGGAAGGAGCCAGTTTGCTGGATCCGAACTGGTGGGTCTGTTCTGGGGCGAGGAGGAGGGGAGGTGGGCTGGGCCCTCTGTTCCCACCTTCCTTTTTTGTTGGAATGTTTTTAATAAACACTGGATTCTTTAGCCTTTTGGAGCAAATTAATGTATGGATGCTTGCTTGCATGTGTGTACATATTTAGTCAATAGAGCGCTTTCTGTGCTGCAGGGAGTGTTCTGAGCACTTTGTAAATATTAACATTGACTTCTTCCTACTAAGAAGGCATAATGTGGTTATTCCTATTTTACAGCTTAGGTAATGGCCCACCTATTATTCATTCATCAAACATTCATTGGACTCCTCCATGGAGCCTGACTCTGTGCTAGGCTCTGGGGGTAGAGTGATGAGTTGGGCTCTGTTCTCAAGGATCTCAGTGGTCCTCAAATTTTAAGGTGCCTCAGAGTGTCCTCAGAACTTGCTTACAATGCAGATTCCAGGCTCTATCCCCAGAGACCTCAACTTTGTTACAAGATGGTTCTGTGATTGCTGGAGGTGGGATCACACTTGGAGAGATGTGTGTGTATGTGTGATCCTTACTTAGAGAGAGAGAGAGTGTGTGTGTGTGTCTGTGTGTGATTCTGTATGTTGTAGTCGAATGTGGGAATGTTTTCCAGTCAAGATGACATCTGAACTTGAATTGAATCTGGAAGGATGAGTAAGAGTTTCTTCTTGGGCCAGTTGGGCTGCCTTCTTAGATGGTAATTTGCCAAGAATCATTACACTTAAAAATGTACCTATTATCTAACTCTCACAACATGTGTCAACACGAAAGGATGCTGATCACTGAATTGTTCTTGTAGTGAGAAACTGGCAATGACTAAGTGCCCAGGAGTAAGGTGGCAGATCAATAAAATATGGATTATATGCTAATGCTAATAGTACTACCCCTGCCGTGGCACTGATGGTGGGCCAGGCACTGCTCCATGTGGTCGATGTACGCTATCTCAGGTAAGCCTTAAACAACCCGAGGCAGGAACGTCTCTGCCACTGTTACTATTGGGGTCCTCCCGCCCCCCAGTTTTACCAGTGAGGAAACTGAAGAGCAGAGAGTGACACAGCTCCCTTGCAGTCTCCTAGTTAGCGAGTGGGATTTGAATGTGGGCTTTTGGGGCAAGCGCTGGAAGAAGAGAGAAAATCAGAGGGTGTACGGGGAACAGCAAATGGCTGGATCTCTAGAGTGTGATTTTAACAGGTGGACAAGGTGGGGAACAGAGAGGATTCTGGAATGTTTGAGACAGCCATGGTGGCTTGGCCAGATAAAAGCATGAATTCAACCTCACTGAATAGCAGATGGGCTTGACCGACAGGTGGAGGCAGCAGAGTGGGGCGATGGGCTTGGTCAAATTTGATGATTTTTCTGGATCTGGGGTCCACGTGGGAGCTTAAGGTGGTGTTTAGAGAACTACCTCCTGAGCTTCTCTGGGTGGGAACCCCTTTTCTAGTTACCCATTTCTGACTCAGGAATGACCCAGTCCCACCCAAACATTCCTTGATATGGCTTACTTAAAATCCCTCTGGATCCTTCTCCCTCTAGATACTGTTCCATGCCTCTACCTCTTGCCCCCATCCATAAAGAAACTTCCCTCCTGTACAGTCTCCAGTGACTGTCTCCACTTCGCAGCCATTTCCAGCCCGGCCCCCACCTCCCTACACATGGAAATGGCCTCCGGTGGCCAGATGCATTTGGGGAGTTTTACTCCTCTGTGCTCATCCTACCCCTCTCGCAGCTTCTCTGACGTGGCTGATTATGCCCTTCTTCCTGAAATTTTTCTCCACTTGGTCTCCGGGTCCTGGTTCTCCTCCCACCTCACTGGCTGCAGCTTCCTCACTCCAACCTTTAAATGATAGCTTGCCCTTGGACTCAACCCTTGGACCTCTCTGCTCTGTGTAAACATTCCCTGTGCTCTGTTTGGCCCTCCAGCTTTAAATAGCACCTCTCTGCTAAAGACTCTGAAATTTATATCTCCAGCCTTAACCTCTCCCCTGAGCTCCCGACTCCTACATTCAACTGCCAACTCTGCTGGCCCCTCGGTGCCTAATAGGCATCTCAACTTACAGGTGCAAGCGAAATCTTGAGCTCCACCTTCCAAACATGCTCTTCCATTAGCCATCACTACCTTAATAAAAGACATCCTCTGGGCCTCCCCGGTGGCGCAGCAGGTTGAGTGCAGCACTGTGAAGCTGTGAGACCTCACCCAGAGGACAAGGGGAAGTCACTGAAAAGTTTCAGGTAAAGAAAGATGATGAGGGGCCTCCCTGGTGGTGCAAGGGGTTAAGCACCGCACTGTGAAGCAATCCGCAGCCTCTGCAGCAAAGAGTTCGATTCCCGGCCAGCCAGGGAGCAACCTACATGGCGCGGCAGACCTCTCCTGTCATGCCCACTGCTTCCCTCAGCAGTGTTTTTGGTCCTTCTGCTTGTTCTGTTCCCTGCTCTGTCTCTGGTGAATCCTCTCACCCTCCCACATCTCTGGCCTGTACCCCAGTTCTTGTATAAAAAAAAAAAAGATGTCCTCTGCCCTCGATCCAGCTTATAACCTGATCGGTCCTAAGATCTAGGAATCAGTTAAACTTCTTATTCTGCTACAGGATTTCTCAACATTGGCACGCTTGACATTCCAACCAGATAATTCTTTGTTGTGGGTCATATCCTGTACCTTGGAGGATGTCCTCTTCCAGGAAGTAGCAGGATCCATGTACCTACAGATGCCAGAGTCATTTGGCATCAGTCCTGCTCCCCACCCCCTGGCCCCGTCATAAAGAGGGGGAAGTGGCGTGCAGGGAGGTGATGTGGAATCTGTGGTATACAGTCAGGCAGCCATGGTGCAAGCCTAGATGGCACAGTGGCCTCTACCCATTAGATGCCAGTATGATACCCCTCCAGCTGTGACCACACACAATGTCTCCTAATACTGCCAGGTTATGGGCAACACTACCGAATTCCCAGCAGTTATTACCTTAGAGAACCATTGCTCTAATGTAATACGCAGATAGCAAGTCAATCTGTCCTAAGCACACATTCCAGTAAAATTTTGTAAGCTGAACACAACCGCAAACCAGCATCCAACTCAAGATAAAAACATACCAACATCCTAGATGTCCCCCTGCATTCACTACCCTTTCATCTGAAGTAAAGTAAGAGTAACCACCGTTACTTCTGATAGCCTAGGCAGATTCCAATGTTTACTTTATTCAAGTACTATTTTATGATACATATTTCTAGTGTCTGGCTTCTTTTTGCTCAATATTGTCTTTATGAGATTCATCCGTGTTGTTTGTGAGCTACAGATTGTTCATTCTCACTTCTGGCTGTATCCCATACTATGAATGTGCCATTTATTTATCCACTTTACTGTTGATGGACATTTGCAATTTGAGGCTATTATGAATAATGCTACATGAACACTCCTGTCAATGTATTTTGGTGAATATGGCCAGCGACTTCTTTTTAATTACTTAATTAATTTTTATTATATATGTATTTTACACCATGCTTCCATTTTGTGCAACGTATGCTTTCTCCTCTCAGCTGTAGCCCCTGTAAAATTTGCCCAGTTCACCCGTGCACCATCACCATAGTCCCTTGTGCTCCTCCCTCCCCTGTTTTGATCCCTCTCTTTCCTGGCAGCCACTTCTTCTGGGCATAAACCTGGCATTGGAATTGGGGTAGGTGGATGTGCACTTTTAGTGGATGTGACAGAACAGTTTCCCAAAGTGGTTTGACCCACCTATACTCCCACCAGCAGTGTATGAGAGTTTCCAGGAGTCCTTCTTGACTCCTCTTTCCATTGTATGAATATCTAACCCAGTAGCAGGCCCTGTCGGCTCTACTTCCAAAGTGTCCCCACGATCAGATGACCCAGTTGGGCTATCATCAACTCTCATACAGTGGCTGGTGGGGAGGGGTAGAGGCAGAAGCCTCTGAATTACATTCCCAGCTTCTAGTCCTGCTCTTCTTTAGTTGACTCTTCACTCAGCAGGAAGAGTGATCTCTTTTTTTTAAAGATATTATTTATTTATTTTTGCATAGAAGAACTGGGGTGTAGGCCAGATGTGCGGGGAGGGTGAGAGGATTCACCAGAGACAGAGTGGGGAGTAGAACAGGCAGATCAACTGAAATACATTGCTAAGGGGAGGAGCAGGCAAAATAGGAGAGATCTGTGCCATGTAGGTCAGCTCCCTAGCCAGGGATTGAACTTAGGCCACAAGGTGATAACGCTGAGACTTGAGACTTAACCCCTAGGCCACCAGGGAGGCCCAGAGTGATCTTGTTAAAACCTAAATCGGGGGCCTCCCTCGTGGCACAACTGGTTGAGTGCCATACTGTGAAGCTGTCCACAGCCTCTGCAGTGTGGGTCCTATCCCGGCTGGCTGGAGAGAACCCCACATGATGTGGCAAGACGGAGACGTCTTGCCCGCTGCTCCCCTCAGCAGTGTATTTCAGTCAGTCTGCCTGTTCTGTTCCCCGCTTTGTCTCTGGTGAATCCTCTCACCCTCCCGCGCATCTGGCCTGTACCCCAGTTCTTGTATAAATAAATAAATCTTAAAAAAAAACCTAAATCGGGTCGCATGATTCCCCTACTCGAAAACTGCCCAATGGCTTGCCTTGTGGATTAGAAAAGAATCCAGCCTCCTCCCTGAAGCATTCAAGAGTCCATATGCTCTGTTCTCCGCGCCTCCCTCATGTCTCATCACTCACTCCACTCCCTCTTCCAGGCACAGTGGCCTTGTTGCTGCCTCTGAACAGTCCAGGCTCCTGTTCACCCCTGGGCCTTTGCACTTGCCAGCTTTTCTTCCAGAGAACCCTTCCTGCAGAACTCTGCACATCTGGCTCCTTCTCATCAGCGAGGTCTCCGCTCAAATACCACATCTTCTCAGACTTAGGCTTCCTTAGACTCCCCGCTGAAGGAGTCCTTCCCCTAGTATTATGCTTTGGCACAATTTTTTCTTAATATAGACCACAATCTCAGCTCATCTTGTCTATGCCTTTGCTTACACACAAGGCTTCCCTCCTCACTAATCATGCGTGTAAGTCACACGAGGACAGTCCATCTCCTTCAAGGCTGCATCTCCAGCGCCTACCACTACTGC